CCAGCACACGCTCTGCCACGCGTGTGCGCCCTCCTATAAATCTATCTGTGAATATATATATATATGTATATGCAGGGGCACACAAAGAGCCGTGTAGCTGCGAACAGTTTCCTAGGGATTTGCCACAGTGCCGTGAGGAACGAATTTGTCACTGCTGCAGCTCGCCTCGCTTCCCCCCCCGCCCCGACACCCGGCTCGAGCTGCGGACAGGGCTGATCCCCGAACAAAGGGTGAAGCGGTGCCTCGACCCCTCTGGGACTGCCGGGGCTCGGGGGAGGGAAAAAGAGAAAGAAAGGGAAAAAAGAGTGAAAAAATAAAAAAGGAGAAGCAGCTCCAGCAGGCTAGGCTGATGTGCCAGCATCGGCCCTCCCGACAGTCCCCCCCAGCAGGCCAGGACGCTCTTGCTAAGCTCCCTTTTACCCGAGCTCAAGCCAGCGGCCCCAGCGGGCTCTGAGCGGCCTATGCAGCTCTCTGTCCCAGCACGGTGGCAGTATCGCAACTGCACCTCTGCAGCTCTTGCCATTTGTGCATGTCCGGTTGCCCAAGGACCCGGCTGTGGCAGTGCCCCAAGTGCCTGGGGGCTCTGCCCGATGCTGCCCCGCGTGCTGTGGCAGCTCTGCTTTCCCTCCACGGTGCTTACTTAAGAAGAGGGGTAAAAGTACAGTGGACTTGGTAGCCATCAGGCCGAGGTGACCTTCCACTTCGTTAACCTGATCTGCCCGTGTTTCTCCCACACCTTCGCGATGGAGCAGCCCCACTCATTTACTGCCTTTGTGGGTCTCGCGGGGGACCTGGCAGATTGTGACCTCCCAAGTTATTCCAGCTGGAGGTCAGCAGAGGGCTCCAGCAGCGTGGGCCCAGATTGGCCTTTTTTTCTTATTTTTTTAAATCTTTTTTTTTTACACTCTATTCTCTCTTTTCAATTTCTGTAACTTTATTGGTATGCCGGGCTGCCTTTGTGTTGCCAGAGGTTTGTGGATGGCTGCGCTGGTGATAGGTGTCCATTTTGCATGGGCATCCATTTGTGATTTGCTGGCGGGCTGCCGTGTGTTGCGCTTGACCCTTGCTCCTGCTGCAGAGGAAGGTTCAGTGACTCCAGAGGGATCAAGATAGAGCCTGCTGTGAGGCTTATTTTGGTAACCAGTCCCTCTGCTGTTGGTATAAATGAGGTAGTATACTCATCTGTGCCATTTTTTTGTGGCCAACCACCCTCCTGGGGACAGGAACGGTTGAACAGAATGTAATTCCCTGTCATGAGAAGGCTGCTGGGACGGGGGGAGATGTGAGTGGTGGGACTTAAGTGCTCTTGCCTTGGTGCTATTCCTGGTTCTGCAATGCGAATACATCTGTGAGCTAGAAATCAGGACTCTTGGCATTACTTGGCTGTACTTCTGGCCTGCTGTGTGACCTTGGGGAGTCTCTCTCTGTGCCTCAGTTTCTACTCCGTGGAGAGGGGACATTGACATGCCCCTTTTCAACAAGGACAATTCTGCAGCTCCCTCTACTAAAGCTCTTATGGATTTGGGGGTTTGCTAAGGGGTGATCTTTTGTTCTTTGGCCGGTTTGTTCTTGCTCGGAGATGTCACGCACTGATGGATTTTCGTTTGGGAGGGACTTCCTCGGCTTGGAGGCCGCAATTTTAGCTTGAGCCCCTACCCTTTTGCACTGAGAGAGCTTTCCACATGTTTTGTGGCATGGGAAGTTGTAGAGGAGTCAGACAAACACTCTTTGTTTGCTTCACGAGAAAAGATTTTCTGGTATAAATAAAGGAAACCACCAGCACTTGTGGCTGCACTCTTTATTTTTAAAAGAACAGTGTGTCTGTATTGCTGCTAAGCCATTGACGGGGAGGGAGGCAGAAAGATCACAGACTTGCTCCTTTTCTAGTCTAGCTTGTTTCCACTCGACTGTTCCAAATTTGGACTAGGTCCTGTCTGCTGCGGGTATGCCTGCCCTGAAGAGTTAATGTGGGTCCTGGCTGGGTTTTAACCTTACTTCCCCTTCCATTCACAAAGAAGAGCCTCTGGTTCAAATCTGGAGGTGTTTTACAGGTGAGGGGCGTGGGTTAAACGTGGGATTAAGTTTTAACAGGGGCTGAGGCCACGCAGGGAGGGAGCAGGCCAAGTGGTGCTAGTCCTTCAATGACCTTCCCGTATTTCTCTGTGAGAGACAGGCATGTTCTTCCGTCCCCGACACGACCAATGGAAAGGAGGCATGGGCTGAATCAGCCTGCAAAGTGTGGGATAAGACTGCAGATATCTAGGTGTAAATGTCGATACAGTAGCAGGGGCAGGGCTCTGTTGTGGGAATGACTGTGTCTCAGTCACATGCTCAGGTCTGGGTACCAATTGTGCAAATTGACTGTGAGGCCTTGACTAGTGTGTGTGGTGAATGCTCTGTGTGCAGTGAAATCAAGGCAAGGGGATTTTCATGGAGGCTGGAGGAAGAATCCCCTTTTCCTTTTCAGAGGCTGATTCAGACTTTGGAAAATCATCATACATTAAGTAAAGGCAAAAACTCCCAGATTCTTTATGGGAAGCATTTGATCCTGTCACTTCTCCCAGATCTCAAGTACAGTCATCAGGGCACAGCCACCGAAATAAAGACTCTGCAAAAGAATTGCATGTGCTATTTTGCGGTCAGTCTGTAGTCCAGGCTCACTGGTATAATCCAGCTGCTCGTGCTTGGACAGCATGATAGAACTGAATCAGTTTCACTTCAGGTTTCTCCTCAGTTTCTGCCTCTTTACGCCCCAGACTAATTCAGGGAGTAGCCTTTGATTTGCATAGGTAACAGTTGCTTTCCCTCCCACTCTCTTCCTTCCTTCCCCCTTCCATGGTTCCACAAGCATTATTTTCCAGAACCGTGCCTTTACTGCCAGAGAACCCAGATCCGTCCTGCTGGCACGATGTAAATAATCAACAGTGCTGATCCGTGGCTGTCACTGTGACTGCAGAGTTTCCCACATATTAAACTGTCCAACTTGTTGAAGCACAGACAGTGACTAAGGTCACTCTGAAAGGGAACAGGAGGAAGAAGGTAGCACAGACAAGGCAGGAGAAGAGACAGGAGGCATCCTGTGCTTAGAGGAGGAGGCAAGGGGCGAGGAACAGGGACATGCTGTCTTTTGCACTAGGAATGCCAACAAGAAGTGCATGCCTACTAGGCTGCCTTTCCCTTTCATAAGCCACTTTCTCTTTTAATAGCCGCTCGCGCTCTCTGACACTTCAGACTCCCTGGATGGCAGCTCCTCCCCTCCTGTACGCGCTCACCCAGCTCTGTGGCACTGTCAGCTCTGCATGACCTAGAATTAACTTTCAACAATTAGCTGCGGGCTGTGAGCTCCAAGCCCAGCAGCTTTTGCATTTTTCGTGGCAAAGTAACCTTTATGCCAGTTTGTCACAAGTTCAGGGCACTCTAGAAACGCTTACCGGAGCCCATTTTTTTCCATGATGCAAGCAGTTTGTGCTTATCACACAGAGTTATCAACCTCAGTGCTATAGGACTCTGCATACTGTGCAGGTGGATCACTACAATGCCTAGCAGCACGGGGCAATCACTATCTCTTTGTGCCTACATTTGTCATCTGCTGCATTTGAGACATCTTCCTTGCCTGCATGCTGGTAGAGCTAGGAGGCCTCACAAACTCCAGGTACTCACTGTTTGCAGAACTGTACTGGCAGCTGGATTTCGTGCGTGTGTACTTATCTATACTATCTCTCATCTCTTTAAATCTCTCCAACCCTTGACCAAGCAGCAAGATGAAGCTTTGGCAAGACACTGGGAAACATTGAGAAATCCTTGTGAAATCAGTGCAGATCGCAAGCACTTAGTGTTTGCTCCATTCAGAGGGAAGGCATGGAATAAAGGCAGATCCACCCTGTTCCCCCTCCCACACTGCCTCATTGTGGTTCGGTAGTCAACTCTGTGTGGTCTGGTGAATCTCGGGGGTGCTGTGGGCTTGCTTGGAATCTTTCCGTGGATGGCTTGATTCCTTGCTCTGGGAAACTGGTCAGTGCAGAGACAGAGCGACTTGTAACAGGTGCTGTGTTGGTTCTGAAGGTGACACGTTGAGGTGGGTAATCTGCATGGGGAGGAGGGACAGGTGAGGGGAATGGTGAAGATGTGGATTGGTTGTTCAGAACTGTCTGGTTGTGCTCAGGAGTGCCTCTGTGCTGAGCTCTGTGGAAAGGTGGCTTCTGCCTTCTAAAACGCACTTGGTCAGCAAGTAGCTGTTTGGAAAGAGGGCGAAAGACAAACCAGTGAAGGGCCTTAATCTAGAGGCCAAGTTGTGTTCAGCAGCCTCAGGTGCTTTTTGTCTGAGCTAATATGTTTAGTGGCAGCTTGTCTGAGAGCGGGGGGGATAGCAGGAGCAGGGATCTGGGGAGGAGGCAGCTACGGGATGAGGCAGCTACGGGATGGATCGTGGTGTCAGGGAGGGTCAGTCCAAGTAGTGGGGCTATCCTGTCCATGTTTTCCCTGCCGTGAAGTAGCAGTAGGAGGAGATTTTTCTCCTCTAACTCACGTGATTTCTGTGTGTGTGTGTGTGTACGTATGTGTGTCTGTGTGCGTGTGTGGAGGGCAGAGACAAAGGACTTAGGCCTGCAAGAGTGTTGGTGAAGAGTATAGGGTAGATGTGTTGCAGCTGTCTTGTTCTTTTTAAGGGGTGAAGCACTGGGTGTTCATGAGCTGAATTGGCATTAACTTCTTCCCTCCATTCCTCCTTGTAGTTATCAAATTCCTGGAAGTCTACGAACGCAGCTTCTGCAGGACAATTGAGACCCTGGTGGACATTTTCCAGGAGTACCCCGATGAGGTGGAGTACATATTCAAGCCATCCTGTGTACCTCTGATGAGATGTGCAGGTTGCTGCGGCGATGAGGGCCTAGAGTGTGTCCCTGTGGATGTGTACAACGTCACGATGGAGGTGAGGGCCCACCTTGCAAGCTGGCGTGCCAGGGTGGAGGGTGCAAGTCAGCCAACATGACCTCTCCCATCTCCTAGCTTCAACTCATCCAGAGGAGAGCATCCTATCCCGGGAGGTGGAGACCTTGGAGAGTGTCAGATCAGGAGGGTTCACCTCTTAGTTCTCTCTTCATCCTTCTGCCCAGCATTATACCACACAAGGTTGAAAAATGAGCTGTTTTTCCTCCCTGTTCAAGGCTAAGAGGAGAATCTCTTTTTCAGTGACTGACCCTACTAGCAGCAAAATACAGAAGCTGGGAGCATGCAGAGGAGCACTGCTGAGTGTAGAGGCATTTGTGATGTTGTTATTTCTTGAGGCCCCCACGAAGAGCCTTTGCAGGTCCTTCCTCCACCTTAGCGCAGCACTTGGTCCCACACAGCTGTTGCTCTCCAGGCAGCTGACTAGTGCAAAAGGGAAAAGCCTGTCAGTGCTCTCTCTCCCGGAGGGCATGTGAGGTCAGCCTTTACCAGCGGAGTGGGGGATTTGGGTCATTAGCTGCATTGGCACAGCAGGGGTGGAAAGGGACTCTAAGAAACATGCTGTGGCAGTGTCAAGTGTAAAAGCCTTTCTGCCTGTGGGCATCCTCCTCCTTTGTTTGGAGGCTGCTGAATTCATTTCTTGGAGGGGACAGAGACTGGCTGTGAAGGCAAAGTCTGGGTGCATTAGGAAGATGCAAACTGCCCTTAGAGAGGTTTGCCACTGCCCTTCTCTGCCAGCCTGGATCCTAGCTCATACCCACAATGTTGCTGATGCTCATAATCCCTAACCTCCAAACCCCCTCCTTCTAGTTTCTCGCTCAGCCTCTTGAATTGCCCCTGTAAATGTTGTCATCACATTGTGGTATGGACAGGAGACGTGCAGGACTGCGTGATTACTAGCAAGCTGTTTTCACCTGTGACCTAAGTCATGTTTAATCTCTCTGGCAGAGAACCTGTCTGTTTGCTTCCATGGTTCCCCATACTGTTTTCCTATTTGCAGGCTCCAGTCTGGGCCAGGCCCTACTTGTGTGGTGTAGCTAAGGATGGTTTTCTTCCTACCATTCTTGGCTGAATTGTGGTTGTTGACTGTTATGCCCATGTGCCTGTAAAGGGTCAAAGGCATTTGAGTAGACCTCTGGTGCAAATGCTAAAGCTAGTGGTCCAGCCAGGTTCTGCGTTGAAAGGCTGTGGCGACACATGTAGCACCATGTGTAACTTCCAAGGTGACTTCTTTGGAGGTCTTGAGGTCTAGGCAGGTGTTTGGCTCTGCAGCGTGTGTTAAGCATAGAGCACCAGGCTTATCTGGAATGCCAAGTCACTGAGAAAGTGAGATGTCAGCCAGGACAGAGTGGTGGTTTAGGGAGACCATGCAGGATATGGAGCCTTTGCTTTGGGCTTTTGCTTTAGGCTGAAGCTTACCTCTTATCCGAGAACATGTTAGAGGCTCTTGTTGCTGTATCTCTGCTACCAACCAGGCATGGTTCAGCGAGAACCCCGCTGCGGTGTAATGCCTGCTCCTGTGTCCTTCTCCAGGGCAGTCCACCCTTTCTGGCACTTTGCATGTATGAGCAAACAGAGCTTTGGCACGAGCCTGGTGCGGCTGCTTGTTTGTGATCAAAGGCCTTCCCTGCCTGAGAGATTGGGGTGACAAAGCCTGCTCAAACTATGCCATGCTCTTTCCAGAAGTTCGTGGGGTGCAAATGTTCTGCTCTTCAGCAGACTGTTTTGGAGCTGTGAATGTAAATAGTGAATAGGTAGTGACCCTTTTTGTTTCCTTTTTTCCAGATCATGAGAATTAAACCCCATCAGAGTCAGCACATATCGCATATGAGCTTCTTACAGCACAGTAAATGTGACTGCAGGTGAGATTGGAGCAGCATTAGTTGCACTTGCAATAAACTTATCCTGAGTCTTTCCTTTCTCCTGCTATTGGGTTGGGATTGTTGTCCAGAAGCTTCTGCACTATTCCTGAACTGGTTTATAGTGGGATGGTGGAGCCTGGGAAAATAAGTCCTTTCTTGGTGAGGACCCTCTATCTCTAGATATTGTGGGTGGGCAGTGCTAGCCTACAACCTGGGAACTGTTGGCACTGCCTGCCAGGAAGGTGAAATGGGAGAACAGACACTTTGAGAAGGATCACTTAACCTGTGCCATGGGCATCCTGCAATGGCAGCCGGGCATGGACTTGTGGGAACCGGGGATAATGCTGGAAGTGTGTTTGGTAAGCTCCCTTCTAATAAGGCTCTTGTTTTATTTTTCCCCACAGACCAAAGAAAGATGTCAAAAATAAACAAGAAAAGTAAGTGGCAAACCTTTCCTCCTTTCTCTTTTGGTGGTTGGTTGGTGTTTCCTCTCTCCACTGCCCCTTGCCCATTTCTTTGATTGGTTGGAGATACTCACTTTGAGACAGTGTTTTTGGAGATGGCATATGTTAGTGCATGGGGCGACACTCTGAATCCGTTCCAGGTGGGCACAGAAACCCAGATCTGACGGTCCTTCCTTCATACCCCAGACCTGGAGCTTGCATGACCCACGACCATGGCAGTCATTCCTAATGCTTTACCCCGAGTCAGGGAAGTCCCGTCGTGTGTGTCCTACCAGAATGGATTCAAGGTGCAGCCCCCACTCTCCCTTCCCTCTTCCTGGGGTGTTTCTGGTTACTGCATATCGCTGCCTTTCTTTATTAATTTTTTTCTTGCTGCTTGAGTGAGAACTTGCTGGCTTCTGTCACAGCAGCTTGGGTAGGAACTCTGCTGGCTACAGGGAAAGGTGGCAGTAGAGGCCTGGTGGAGGCAGGGCTGATGCCATGCACGGTGTGACACTGCTGTTGGCTGGGCAGGGGGCCTGGGAGGGCAGAAAAGGAAGCGGATGTCCTGACGAGGTCTTGGTGGAGGCTTTTGTGAGAGTTTTTTCAAGCCGATGGATTTGCTTTGGTGACCTGAAGGAGGTTAAGGACAACCTTCCCTCTCCTTCCTCCTCAAAATAAAAAGGTTGTGAAAAGTAGAAAAGTAAGCTCTCGTCCTGCAGTAGTTGCAGGAACGATCACAAAACGTGGAACAACATCGAAAAAAGAGTGACCTCCCTGGGCGAGGGGGTCAACTGGACTGCGCATGGCTGGGATAGCGGCTCTGCCATTTAGAGGTGCGGAATTGGAGAGAAAAGGGGTGAATATTGGCTGAAGCAGACAGAGAGAGCAAGTGGGAGAGTGAGAGACACCTTCTTTCACCCCTCTCCTGGTGGTTGTGTATTTCTAGCTGCCTTCCAGCCTCTCCTCCTCCCCCTGGAAATCTGCTCGTGGTTGCAGTGGGCCGCGTGCAGCCATGGCTCCTCTCTGTGCGGGGCCGTGCCGGGGCCAGTCGGTCTGTGTGGCTCTGTGTTTTGAAGGTGTGCAAGAGCTGGGTCTGTGTGAACTCTGGTGAGGATGGGGTGTGGGTGAAGCAGCCAACCCTGATCGTGTGGCACTTCCCTCTCCTCTTCTAACAGCACCTTGCCTGCTCTCTGCTGGCTCTGCACGCCCTGGGAAGGAGGGGAAGGGGTGGGAGTGACTGGTGTGCTTTGATTTGTGCTGGATTGAAAGCCCTCTTGCATCGGTGCCCCTCTCCTCCGCTCAGGTTGGTTCCCCCACTCACGGCTACCCGGTAGCTCCTGCAGCTAGGGCCAGAGGCTGAGAGGGAGCCAATGCTCAGACACTTGTTCCAGTGAAAAGACTTGGACAGGGCCTAAGCAGCACCCCTAAGGTGCTTTCCTTTCTGTCCCCTTATGTCTACAGCCCCTTCTATAGGTGGGCTGTGCCAGGGAAGGAGTGAGGCGGAGCGGGGAAGGAGGCAGTCTCTGCTGAGCTGCTAGTGCTGGGGCTCGCTTGTCTGCCAGGCTCTCACCAGACGTAGAGATCAGGGCAACCTACAGGCCTGCATGTCCCAGCCCTTGCTCAGGAAGCAGGAGCAGTTGGTGACTTTCTTAAGCAGCGCATCAGTGCCTCGACTCCGTTCGCTCCACTCATGTCAAGGGTACGGGTTGGAGAGGAATGGAGCGAAGATCTGGTTGGCATCCTCTGGGTGCCAGAACTGGGTCGGGCCTCCCTCTTTCTCCTGGGGGGGATCAGGAGGGAGGATGCTAGAGGCGGTAGCTAGAGGACAGTGAGGTCTCCTGGGGTCCTGTGAGCCCCGGGCAGGAGGTGGGTGGGCGAGCAGAGCGGTCAGGCTAGATAGCCCCTTGCATAGCAGCATCATGTAGAGCAGGGCTCCCCCAGGGTCCCTTCACTCCCATCCCAAGGCAGGAGTGATGCCAGTGCCCCTCAGAACCAGGCTGCCCCCTCCTCAGGCTGGTGCTGGGCACTGCTGTGGCCCTCAGCATCTTCTCCTCCCCCATGGCAGGAGGAGTGGGAGAGCCCCTCTGCTCAGGCTGTCTCCTGTCAAGCGGTGTGTGTCTGAGCTTGCCGCCTGAGCCAGCTGCCTGCCCTCCCTGTGCGCTGGCTCGGCTGCGGGCGGCTCCAGCGCGGGGCGTTGTGTGCGAGCGGGAGACCGAGCTGCTTCGGCCTGCCCGCCGCGCCCGCCTCGTGGGCTTCCCCCTCCTGGCAAGGCACGTGGCTGTATTTTTTTTCTCTTCTTCCTTGCGTTTTTCTTCCATTTTCTCTCTTTCTCTCCCTTTCTTTCCTTCCTTCTCTCTCTCTTTTTCTGTTTTTTTTTTTGTTGTTTTTCTTCCAGAAAATCAAAGCGAGGAAAGGGGAAGGGTCAAAAGAGAAAGCGCAAGAAAGGCCGGTACAAACCACCCAGCTTGTACGTTTGTCCTCTGCTCGTAGACTCTCTTCCCTCCCTCTCCCCAAACCAATCCGCCTGCTTGCTGCTCACTTGAAATCTCACCCTTGTCTCCTCAGTCACTGGTGGGCTGCAGATCCTGCAGGGGCAGCGCTTGTGGTGGCACAGCTCTGGCACTAAGGGATGCTCAGGGAAGGTGGCTCTAGCTTGCTTGGCTCGCTCTAATCGTCAGTGGTGACCACTTCCCCGGGGTGTAGGAGCACGGGTGGGCAAGCGAGTGCTCTGCACCTCTTTTCCACTCGTTCCATTTTCAGCTCTGTCCTACACTTCCCCCACGCTGGTCTTGTGCCCTGGTTGCTGTGATGACTGGTGACAGACAGTCTGGTGTCTGCCGTGCATGTGTGTGCGTGTGCGTGCGCACGTGTGCGTGCGTGTCTGGTGGAAACACAAGTGGAGAGGAGAGGTGGGATGGTGGGAGCCTGGAGAGGGGTGTTGGGAGATGGTGGGGCGTCCTCTCTCGCTCTTTCTCTCTCTCGGCTGGACTTGGTGGCTTCTCTCTCTCTCTCTCGCTCTGTCTCTGTCTTTCTCGCTCTGTCTCTCTCATGGTAGTTCACAGAATTCTGCATTGCAAATTCCTGGCCCTTCCATAGGAAACTCCTAGGTGGCAAGGTGGGGATGAGGGGCACAGGAAGAATGGCAGTGCAGACTGCGAGGGTAAGCACATGATGCTGGAGCCCAGCTGCCTTCCAGGGGAGGAGAGCCCCTGTGTATTTAACTCTTTTAGCCGCTGGCCTCTTTCTACTCGAATAGCTCGCTTCAGAGAATGCCTTTCATTGATAGATCAATAGCCAGTTGGGACCTCTCACCTTCCCATCCTTGCTTCCCCCTTCCTCCTCCTTTTGGCCTGTGCCGACTAGATCCAATGCAGCATTTGTGAATACTGTGCAGAGAGCCTGTTTTCTTTCTATTTACGCTATGCAAGGGGTTGCTGTCCTGAAGAGGTCCTGGGACTGCCACGGTGCTGCTGGAAAGCCCATCAGCCTGTGACACTCCAGTGGGCAGCATGGGGGCTGCGGGAGGGGGCAAGGGGATTGCTTTGATGTTTAGGGTGTTGCATGTGTATTTTCTTTCTGCTGAAGCGCTGTAGCTTAGACATCTTTCCTTTTGCCTTTTTGCAGTCACTGTGAGCCTTGCTCAGAAAGGAGAAAGCACTTGTTTGTACAAGATCCCCAGACCTGTAAATGTTCCTGCAAATTCACAGACTCACGTTGCAAGTCGAGGCAGCTTGAGTTAAACGAGCGCACTTGCAGGTTTGTGTCCTGAAGGATGAAAGAGAAACACACAAAGAGAAAGAGAAAGAGAGAGAGAAAGAGAAAGTGGGGGGAGAGCTTGCTTCTTGCTGACTTCTGGCACCAGTGCTCTGTAATCACTTCTTTCCTCTGTCCTACCTGGGCCAGAGGGCAGAGGGATTAACTGAGATGAGGACAGTTTCCCTGTGTCAAATGATGGCTGTGCGTTTCTGATGTGCTGTCAGGACTTGGATGGGGATGGCTCCCATGGACAGAGCGTTTGTATCTAAGATATCCTTTCCCCTAGAACATGATGACAGAGTTCATACCGACGCGGTAGCCAGGGGAAGGGTCTGTAGCCCTCTGTACATTGCTTATATGCAGCTCTGAGGGTGCTGTTGGACAAGGCCAAATTCTTGCTAGCTGACTAGGATTTGAGCATCCCTGTCTTTCAAGCCTCTCTTTATGCAGCTTGTGGGCACTCTGCTGCTTGCAGAGTGAGGGAAGCCAAGCCAGGAGCCTACTGCAAGGCTGTCCTCAGGTTCTCCTTTGCCTGCTAAAGCCAGGGAGAGGATCCTGTCCTCTTGCACTGCGCTTTAAGTTCCCTGCATGCCTCGGCCAGAGTTGTGGTTTGAAGGGCTGTAATATGGGATGCAGTGGGATTCAGACCGTCTGTAGATGGAGGCAGGCAGAGGTCTCTGTTTCAGTTGTGGGGGAGATGCAAAGACACTGTGTCTGTTCAGAGATCCGTGCTATGCATGTGTTGTCTGAGTGCTACCTGTCACGCCATTTAAAGCATGGACATGAGCAGGAACTGAGATTTCTGGTTGACACCTGGGTGCTTTGGTGAACTCCGTAGGGTCTTTTGACTCACACCAGCTATATGTGCATCCCTAACATGTGATCATCCTACCTATCCTTAGAGAGATGCACAGGGATGGATTGCTAACGAGTCTTTGGCTGTGACTCTGAGGTTGGGCCCCATTCACAGATATCTAGGAACTTCTTCTTGTCAAGGGAATATCGCAGTGGCAGTGGTTGAGTGAGAAAAGAGAGAGAGATCCAGGGCCTACTTTGGCTACATCCTGAACGAAGAGGCATCCATTTGCCTGCCTGGATTTGGCTGGGTGACTAAGACTTCTGCAATTAGCAGGTACTTCCGTTCGGTGCTACGGTGCCTTGCCCAAAACCCAGCGAGGCCTCTGGCACTGCCAGAGCTTTGAAAACTGCTCTGCATACAGAGGGATTTTCTAAGGTGCTGTAACTTGAGTGGGAAAGTAAAATTGGAGAGGCCAGAATAGAGCAGCTTCCAAGTTTATAATTCTCTCAGCAATCATAGTTCCTGAAGAGTGAGACCAAACTTAACCTTGACATTTTTCCCCTGCTCCTGTACCCTGTTCCTACAATATCTGGAAATTATCTCTGCAGAGTGTGAAACATGAGAAATACTCTCAAATTGAAAAGAAAAAAAAAAAAGACAACACCTCAAAGTAGTAATGGTGCCTCAAGTATTTTACTAGTTTCTCTTGCCAGTCTCTCCCTCTGGTGGGATGGTGGGCACTATAGGAGGTTTCCAAAGCTGATATGTTGGCCCAAAGGATAGGAAAGAGTCATAGGAGCAGGTAACTTACCTGTTTCTGGTTATAAATTTGGTTAAGCTGAAGATCCTCCTGCTCCTTTTCCTTGTAGAGTTTGAATTGGGCCCTACAGGGAAGGCCAAGTTCTCATTTCTCCTGCTGCTTCTGTGAGCTGCTGCTGCTGCTGTTCTTTGGCGCTAATCCCTGCTCTTGGCAGCCAGTGTAATGAGAGGCACTTTCTTTTCACACTCTTGCCTGCATGAGACTTTGTTGTCTGCACTGCTTCCAACCCAAACAGGGGACTAGATGAAGAGCTGAGGGAGTGTGCCTTTCTGCATGCACTGCTTAGCCTTGTTTTTCTGTGTGTGTGTATGTGTGTGTGTGCATCTGTCTGTGATGTGAGAGGGTGCATAAAGACACTCAGCACAGTTGGTATGTGGGGAAGGTGGTGATTCCTGCTTCTAAATTTACCCTGTACCAGTATCTCCCAGTCTGGGTGGATTTGGGGGAGTAGAATTCATCTAGCCATGGGTTAAGATTCTCAGCTGTTTTGCCCCGTCTGCACAGCACCTTACCCCACCAGTGACATCACGCCATGTCTTAACACCATGTGCTCTTAAACACATCCGTCACTTCCCTTCCTTCCCTTCCCTGTCGTATTTGCCTCCCCTTTTGCCCTCTAATCACAAACATTAACCTCTCCTCTCTCTCTTTTTTTTTTTTTCCCTCCCCTCTCCTCTCTGGCAGATGTGAAAAACCGAGACGGTGAGCAGCCGAAAAGAAGGGGGAACAGCCCTGTTTCTGGAGCCTGATTTCTCGCCTGGGCAGAAAACAAAACAAAACAAAACACTAATCCAAATGAACCCTAAAAATGAAGGATCGGTAGAGCACAGCACTTTCAGTACGGACGATGGACTCCGGAAGGAACATTCCCCAAGGCACCCGCCGCACAGAATTCACCTTTGGGTTTTGAACTGTTTTATTTTATTTTTCTTTTCATGCTGCTAAATAACAGAGCCAGGAAGACTATAGGGGTGTATTTGATGGGTTTTCCCATACATACATATATATGTGTGTATACATGCATATACATATATATATATGTATATATATTTTAACCACATCTATATATACATATATGTATATCTTAACCACAAACACACACACACACACATATATATATATTATATATATATATATATATATACTGATTATTTTTTTAACATTGCTAATGTTATTGGTGTCTTCACTGGATAATACTCGACTGCTGTGGACACAAGCGGGCTACTTGGGGCATAAGAAACAAGCTAAGACTGGACTTAAGTAGAAGCGCTGGGTGTAAACTTCTTAACTCTAACTGACTTGTGCGGCCTCCGCTGTTTCTCTGTAGAGTGTGCTGTTCCACAAACCACCTTCTCCTTGCCTGGGACAGGGAGGAGAGGTGACCGAGAGGATGGGCAGGGAGTTCCAAAGAGAGGCATCCTAGGGTGCGATGGGTCAAAGGCCAAGGAAATGGCCATCTGCGTGATCAAGGATTCCTCCTCCCCTCTCTTCCCCCAACTTTCGCCCTTACCGTCTCATAACCTGCCTGCCTTGCTGGGACATGGGATGTCAGTGTACATTTTGCGTTGACTCTATTCACTATAGAAACTTTGCCAGAGAGACGTGCTGGTTACTTAAGGATGGTGGGCGGCTGATGCGCACTAACTTTCCATTCGAGGAAGTATCACAGGAGTCTAGATTTCCGCCCTTGGTGGCTGCAAAAGGACGCAAGGCCTACAGTGTGCTGAAGCAAGAATGGGGACCGGTGCATAGCCACACAATTGTTCAGCACTGTCTGCTTTCTTCATGCACAGAGCTGCCACTCAAGAGCATCCAAGATGCTTATGGAACATTTCTGGAAAGGGATATTAATCAAAAGTATATACACAGTTGGGGTGTGTGTGTATGTGAATGTGTGCATTTGTTTCTGTGTGTATGTATGTTTGTGTTTTTCTCTCTCTCTTATACATATATATATATATATTTACATATAAAATACATATATATGTATGCCAAGATTGAAGGGAGGGAAAAGGAAGCAATTTTTGCTGCCTACAGTTTTGCGTGCCCAGTGTGAATGACCCTTTAGAAAGTCAGATTTTTTTTCTTGACGTTCTGTAAATATCAGGCCCCCTGGGCTGGGGAATCGAATGTGAAGGCAGACGGAATCCCTACGTTATGTCTGAAAATCTTGGCTGTGTGTGTATCTGCCGCTGTGGTGTGTGTGAAACCCACCTTACACACGCGCGCACACACACACCCCCCTGAAAGCGTGTTTGTACATCTATGTGGATATATATAATCTAGTTCTGTGATTAAAATTATTATTAATAATAATAATAATCAAAAAGGTACTCGGTCTGTGTCAGAATGCTGCCAAACATCATCTGCAACTGAATTTTCAACGCTTGATAATGTACAACACGGAAATCTTCCAGAAAGACAAGACAAGTCTAAAAACAGACTCACAACAAGTGACTACTAACCACTAGGAGCTCCCCATCCGACCGATGGCTTTCAGAAGGAGGAAAAACACACGGGTGGGTGCTTGCATCTGCAATGTATAATACTCATGCTGCATCATGCGCAAGACAGAGGCTTCCGATGGGGGGGAGGGAAGAGAAAGTGTTTTATATACTTATTTAATATCCCTCTTTAAATTAGAAATTAAACAGATAATTTAATTAAAGAGTAGGGATTTTTCAGTATTCTTTGTTAATATTTAATTTCAACTATTTATAAGCCGTACCTCTTTTATTTCTTTTATTTCTTTTATTTCTTTTTTTTTATTTGTACTGGTTGTGTAAAGATTTTAACTTCCCTGTTGTCCCGTCCCATCTCTCCCCAATTGTTGGCAGAGTCAGTAGCATGTTATGGGCAGTTATTTAATTAATTTCTCTAACACCTACCCCTACACATTCCTATTGAGACGAGGGTTAGATATACATCTACATACTATATATATATTTGGCTATGTGTTTGTATATATATATATATATGTTTATGTATATGTGTGATTCGGATTAAATAGACGCTACGATTTTTTTATATATGTAAAAAGAAGAGACAGGAAAAATAGAAAATTCTACATCTTGAATCTCTCTCCTTTTTAATTTTAATATTTGTTATCATTTTATTTATTGGTGCTACTGTTTATCTGTAATAATTGCGGGGAAAAAAGATATTAACACTACATATTGTGTCTAGTGAATTTTTTCAAGATATTCCTTAGTACATATTTATTTTTAAACAAAGAAATTACAGATATATCTTAAAAACGACGACGACGACGACAAACACTTTTTTTGTATTAAAGAATTTAATTCTGACCTTGATTTCCTTTGCCTTCTCCTTCTGCCTTGCATCCTGGTTTTCTTCCATAGTGTAACAGACCCTCCAGCACTGCTTCTGGAGGCTACAGGGCACAAGCAACCTGCCAGTTGGACTCCTGGATTTGGGCCCAGTGCCCGCAAAAGTATGTAGGTACCTAAAGCCCCTTTAGATCAGAGGGAGTTAGGCACCAAAATACTTTTGTGGGACTCGGCCCAAATTTCCAGCTCAGTGAGAAAAGGGTGGTCTGATGGGCATGAATAAGGGCGCAGGACTCCAGGGTTCCTTTCCAGCCCCTGATACAAAGGAATGTGGTGACCATCCCAACCCTGCCTCTGTCTTGTCAGGAGCTTCAGCCCTGTCGTGCTGGGCACTGTACAGACATGAGTAGATGGGATCTCGGTGGAGCTTACAATCCAAGATGAGAAGCGACATCCCGAGCCTCCCCTGTCCTGGAGATGGACTTTGTGTTTGCTGTTGGAGCCGTGTGTAACCTGCTGCTGCTGGTGGCTCAGCAAGACCACACTGTCCTGATCAAAGAACTCCTAAGCTCTTAACCATGCTTGCAAGGGATCGTGATACCATTGCATCTTCTGCAACATGCTTTGTGGTTCTTGGAAGAAAAAGCTCTTTGCAAACATTGCTGTTTCCTCAGCCCTCATCAGCCATGGAGGTGAGTGAATCACATGCTGCCAATCCTCTGGTTTTGTTGGGGAGGAGCTCACTGCAAGGCTCCTGGATGTCTCAGAGGCAACTTGCTTGGGATAATGGAAACTGCTGCTTTCATGGCTGCCTCAGTCCTGCTTTTGTCAAGATAAAGTATCTGCTTTTATCGAAGATCGACTTGGGCAACTTAGCAGAATATCTGTAGTGCCTCCGCGGAGGACAAAGATCGGAAGGAAGAAGAAAGTATTTGAGGAGGCTGTTTCATCTTGTCTAGTAACATCTTGTAGAGTCCAGCAGTGAGGTGAGGAGGTGAGCAGGCAGTGCTTGGATGTCCAAGGTGAGGAGCCCAAGGAGTGGCTTGCTTTGCGTCTTCATCATAGGCTTTTGCCTTGTGAGGATCTATGGGCTGTTTTGTATGTGGCTGTGGAAGGTAATGAAGAGGGCAAGCCTGCTATCATGAGACTTGTGCTGGCTATACAGGATCTTGGAAATGTCTATAAGTTGTCAAATTGGAAAAATTGAAGATGGCAGATTAGCGGTGCACCTGTGGGCTGAGCTGTGGAGACTTTTCTGAGTGTGAAATCTCATCCTGAGGGAACACACCTTCCTCTTGGATGCACGAGGCAGTGGGCTCCTTGCTGACATATGCAACATGTCAAATCAGGCCTGCAAATAGAGCTGTCTGCTCCTGGCACCTGTGTGAGGAAAGTGCTATACATCCTTTTCTCTTCCCGCCTCTCAGGGCTCTGGAAATATAGACTTTTACAGAGCAAGGTACTCTGGTACCCACCAATTCTGAGATGAACAACGGCCTACTGGCACAATGTGTTTTACCCAGGATCACTCTAGTTGCTCAAGGGGATCACTTAGTGTGGGGTTCCCTCTTGTCCGCAAAAATGCCTGCAACAGAGCTGATGCAGCTGCCTCAAACCCACGTGTATTCATGCAGCAGCCACAACAGGATGGCAGCACAGCAAAGCAGCATGCAAGCCAGCTCCAAATGAGGTACCTTCAGCCCTGTAAGCCATCCAGCTCTTCCAATTTATCCTCCAGACTGGATGTGGCCGGGGTGTAACCGCTCATCAGGGCAGAGATTGCCGCTTGCTGTTGGAGGGGTAGCCTCAACCTCATCGGAGAGGCTGTGCGCAGGTAAAAGTCGTGCTCCTCCACAGGAGCCTGGATTGCCCTCATCCTACCCAGCCCGAGCCTGCGTGTTGCACCTGACTTGTACGGGCTACATCCCAAGGTGATGTGAGGACGTGTGGAGTCGGGCCAGGTTCGCAGTCTCATGCGCTAATCTAGGAGCACAGCGTTTCACCCCGCACAAAAGAATTTCCTCTCAAAGACTTTTGGTCACGTCCACATTTTGATTGCTGGCTAATTAAAATGCTATCTCCAGGCAGCTGGCTGCTGCTTTCCAAGTGCCTGCTTCATTTATTCTGTGGGGTTCAAAGAGCAGAGGCACCGTAAGTGGGAGGCACGGGTGCCTCAGGCAGAGAAGACAAAACCCTACCAGCAGTGGGGAAAGGGTCCTTACAGTAGAAACTCCTCACCATCTTTCCTGTTTAATGCTTGTTTTAACCCCTTGATGCTAATGTCTCGTGCTGCCTAGTGAGACTGGGAGTCAGCCCTCAAGGAGGGGAGGAGAGAGAGAGTGGTAAGGTGGAGAAAGTCTAGGGACAGCATGAGCCCATCTGTACTAGGGTTCTTCAATCACTTGCAGGGTGTATACTATAAATGTCTGTAAAGCCTCTATCCTTTAGCATGTTCCAACAAAGGAGCTTGGAAGCCCAC